GGGAAGGCAAGTGTGTGCCGCAGCCTGTGCAGCCACAGAGGTCAGCTCTGCAGCAGCAGGCAGGATCAGGCCTCCCTAGCAATGTACCCTGCTTTCCCAGCAATGAAGTTTAGCCTCTGTGCTCACCGGTGGTAAAGCTGAGCATCTGCTGAGCCTCCCCTGATGGCTACCAGACCCTGCCGCCGGGCCACTCTGGCTGCTGAAAGGACCCCCTGCAGCCCACCCCTTCCCCGCGGCCCATGTCTCAGAGTACTCCTCCACCTCCTCGGGTGCCTTTTCTGCCTCTTGCTTCTGGCTGGGACAGAGGCACCAGGAAAAGAAGTGCTGAATGTGCAGCGTGGCCCCGCTTAAGTCACTGCATGATCGGCGGCTTTTCCTTTTAATATCTGCAACCTGCTGTGAGCTCTCATATTCCAGCATCCCCCCTCCAGGAGAGCACAGAGGACCTCAGGGTCCCCCCGCGCTAGGCTGTAGGGGTGTGATTCGGCAGTAAGGCAGTGTGTGTGTTGGAGGGCAGGATTTCTAATAATACCCCGTTTAATTAGGGCAGGACGCACTCGGCCCGCTGCAGTAATGAGGTGGGGGTGCTGCTGCTCCCCTCTGCCAGGGCAGCCCCCGGGAGCAGCGTGGTACCTCGCTCCCTGCTCCGGCTCGCTCTGCGGGGACGCACGGGGGAAGCTCTGTCCTCCTTTCTGCAGTGCCGGAGTTATTTTTTGACCCGAGTGCCTCGTAGATTCACGACAACTCGCAGACCCGTTGTGCTTGTTCTGTGAGCAAGCAGCTATTTGCAACATATTTCACATTAACAGTGCAAGAATTTGGGTTGTTCCAGCTATTCTTCTCGTCTCCCTGGAGCACTGACACAGCAGCCGCTGATCGCAACATGAAGCGCTTCCTCGTGCTGTAGATGGGGAGGACGCTGCGGTAACTGACCCCTCTCTGGATTTGTCTTGCAGATATTCTCTCAAGAGTACATCAATCTTCTGCTTTCCATGTATTTCTTTGTGCTGGGGATCTTAGCCCTGTCCCACACCATCAGGTACAGCGGAGGGAAGGGTGCAACCGGGGCAGGGGTGTCCGAGGCTGCCCCTCTGCGAGGCAGCGGGGCGTTGAGTTTACTGGGGGCGTTTCTAGAGCACCATTGCCTTGCGGCAGAGCCAAGTCCCAGCTCGTAGGGTGTTTTCCCTCAGTGGTGTGAAGGGCTCTGCGGGGAGGCAAGTCCAGAGCATGCTGTGAACCCTTCCTCATGGGGCAGCCAAGGGCAGAACCAAAGTCTCGGGGGTCCCAGCAATCTGGTACCCCATTCAGCATCACTGGGAGAGCTTGTGGAGGTGTGGGTGGCCGCTGTTGTAGAAGCCTGTGGGCTAGCATA